TCTGGAAGGAGCTCGGTGCATTCGCCAACCCAAAAAGCATGACTAAGTATTCAAAGAGACCAAAGCGCGAGCGGAAAGCTGTCAGATATTTGTCTCCCTTAGCAATACGCATTCTATTAAAAGCTGAAATAACGTCTAGTTTGGAGAAGTATTTTGCCTTTCCTAAAAGGCTCAAAGTTTCATGAATGCCCGGGATTGGGTATCTATTTTTGATCGTGAGGTCGTTTAATGCTCGGTAATCCACAAAAAATCGGAGTCCGCCCCCTGGCTTTTTTACAAATAAAACAGGAGAAGATGCTGGAGAAGAGCTTGGTCGGATGAAGCCTTTTTGAAGATTTTCCTTAATATACTTCTGTAAGACAAGAAGTTCTTTGCGAGACATGCCATATAAAGGACCCCATGGAGCTTCAGAGCCTGGTTTTAAAATTATTCGATGGTCACTGGGTCTATGAGGTTGAAGTTTGTCGGCTTCTTCCCGTGAAAACACAGAGAGGAAATCATGGTACTCCACAGTAAGTAGTTTTGCCGTGTCTACTATTGGTTTGTCCTTTAAAGCTTCATTTATATCATCTAAACTGACTGCCAAAATAGAATGATCCTCGCAGGTGGCAGACTCTTGGAAGGATTTCAGGTAGCAGGCTTCAATTGTTAAAGGCCCTTGATGGTTTTTGGCTGAAATGTTGGCAGAATTGCGTTGAGAAACATCCTCCGGATCAATAGCGTTTATCCTCGTAGGAAAGTAAGTCGAGTGCTTTCTACAGGCAGGATGATCGAATAAAATAGTATTTTCAGACCAGAACACTTTCGGATTATGCAACTGTAGCCAGGGCAGGCCAAGAACAATATCAAAATGAGCAAGAGTTGTAACAAATAGCAAAATATTTTCGAAATGACCTTCAATCAATAATGTAGTTTTTGCTAAGTGGGTAATCTTGCCAGCACAGGATTCGGTGCCATCAAAAACCTTAAGGGATCGAGGTACATTCAAAGGGGTCAACGTTAGATTGTTTAAATGTGCAAATTTGGTATCAACAAATCCATAAGCAGATGCACCACTATCATTCAATGCGAGGGAGGGTATTGGTTTAGTATTTTGATTGTGTGCAACACACTTGCTTACAAAATGACGTGAACTATCCCACGATCCCCCGAGAATTACTGCTGAAAAAAGCTCTAGTACCGGTAATTTTCTGTTTGTAGGAGATTTCGAAAAGCTTGATTTGAAGTTATCTTTAGTACTAAATTGAACAGTGTTGTCTGGGTGGCCAAGATTCTACAATCGAGACGGTTTCACAGGACAGGAATTTATTTAATGCCCAAAATTTCCACAATAAAGACATAATTGGTGCTGAAGATGTCGAGATTTCTCTTGAGTTATCAGGTGTCCATGGATTTTCGGATTTTTAGGAGTCATATTGCTAGTTGGTTGCGAAATTTTCTGGATATGCTGTAGATTAATCGAGTCCATGGGCTGTCTAATATATATATATATATAGTTAGAGAAACAATCACGAGGTATTAAAATGGTAGAGAGGCAGCCTTAGGAATGTAAGATAGATTGGCTATGGAAGGAGAAATAAGAGTAACTACAGCGAGCTCTATATACATGAGGTGTGGGTGTTTGCTGAGTAATGCCATGACTAGATTGGCATTCATGTCACGTGTAGGTGTTTCATGTTCAAGCACCTACACTGCCTTGCTCATTGCATGTTTGGAGCCCTGAGGTCGTAACTATCCCCCTCCTTCAGAGCACCGTCCTCGGTGTTCTAATTCATTCACCTAAACAATGAGAATTTAAGCGGGGGGGTATGCGTGTTTATCTATGTCTTAGTCTTTTGAAGTAGTGTAATGTGTTGTAATTAAGGGAATAACATGACTGCATTACAATAAACTGTTCACATTAGAATAATGTGCACATGCGCCATGGGATATGATTGACCCAAATTATCACTCATTGGTATGACATAGTATTTCCCAATAGATTCCTAATGGTATCTATTGGCGCTAGGATCTCTCACATCCTTCCTTTCTCAGTTAGACAAGGACAGATGTTGGAACATCCACTAGTGTGCAGAACCCCCTTATTCATGTATATAGAAGAAGGTCCTGTCACGCAGATAAATTAAGCAATTCATACAATAGGAAATTCAAACAATCTCCATATTATTTACACACTTGAGAATACTAGGGAATATCCTCAAGTTTGTCCATTGATCCAAGTCCTAAGAGTATAACTCACGAACTTTACTTCTCTTAAAGCCATAGCTACCTCCTTCCATACCTTCATCCTAACGGTACGTCATTCCAGCTCAGCATAGCCTTTCAATATAATGTTCTACCAAATCCTGCCCTTGTCGGCCAATAGTCCTTATTAATTGCGCTCTGGTCATCCACTTCGTTACCGTGGGTCTTTCTGGGTTGGATACTGCATATTGTAATTTTTTGTTGCCATAAGGTCTGTCTGCGGTGATGGCGTAAGTTGATTGTCTAGTGAATTGCACTTTTGGGCGTCCGTGGCGTGGTGCATCATCCTCCTCATCTGGTAGTGTGATGTCCTCCCAGACGCGATCCGCCTCCAGTCTATACCCAGCAGGTCGAGGGGCATTGGGATTGAGAGTATGAAAAGCATCAATTAGTCGATTGTCAGAGTTTGCAAAACCAACAAATGTTTTTGGGGCCCATATGGTATGGCCTGTATTAATAAATTCCAGCTTGTAATGGGCTTGACGGCCTTTCTGGGAAGTGCGACAAGCAAGGATTCTATATGGCTTGAGTTGGTGTTGAATCGGGGACGTCACATTTTTGTGCCATATGCAAGTTTCATTTACGTCTGTTTGACCTTGTGCCACATCAGGACTATGGTACTTCTCGAGATTTGAGACGTGGTAGACAGGGTGCGGGATGTTGAATTTATCTGGGATACTAAGGCGGTAAGTGAGCGGACCTTTGATGCTTTCCACGGGAAATGGCCCTATCCAACGAGGTGCTAACTTACGCGATTTGTCTACATCGAGAGACAAATGGCGGGTATGTAGCATAACTTGATCCCCAACTCTGAAACTCATTTTGCTATGCTGTTGGCCGTAGTATTTTGACATGTTTGCTTGGGTTTTTAGGAGCTGTTCTTTGCATTTGTCAAGTATAAGCTGTTGCTTTATGACCCAATCTGTTCCGTCGTTATGTTGGTCTGGTTCTTCGTTGAAAAGCTCGGGGTGGGACTGGCGGTGTGGGTGGTAACTGTAGTTTGCAAAGAAGGGGGTGGTGCCTGTGGCCGAAGTTTTTGAGTCATTATAAGCAAACTCACATATATCTAACCATGTGTCCCAGTCAGTTTGGGCTTGGTTACAATATGCACGGAGTAGGGCTTCAATTATAGTGTTTGCACGTTCAGCTTGACTGTTGGCCGTGGAGTGGTAGGCTGTTGTAGGTTGTTGGACAATTCCCAGTTTAGACGTCATATTTTTCCAAAACTTGTTAAGAAATCGGGTGTCTCGATCTGATATTAAGGTACCCGGAATACCATGAAGACGGATGCATTCTCGGCGGAAGAGATCTGCGGTTGTTCGAGCGTTGGCGGTATCGCTTCCTTTAAGTTTTACGGGGCTAAAATGTGCCATTTTTGTTAAGGCGTCAATGACAACAAGGATGGCGTTATTACCACTACTTGTCGTAGGGAGATCAGTGATAAAATCCATATGAACTCTGGTCCATCTTCCTTCGGGAACAGGAAGTGGGGAAAGTTTTCCGTAGGTTGCGTGGTGCGGGTCTTTGTTTTCGTTACAGTTTCGGCATCCTCGGACGTATCTTTTTATGTCGTCTTTCATATATGGCCAGTACCAATCGCGGTAGCATTTCTCTAATGTGCGTGCTTGGTCTTGATGTCCCGCTAGAGGGGAGTCGTGGCATAGTTCTAAGATGCGATTTCGTAGGGATGGAGGTATGTACGCCCGTTTGTCAGCGTAATTATTGGTTGCTGTAGCTGTGACAAGGGCGTTGTAAAAATCGGGAGGAACTTGCGACATTGTGGCGAGGCATAAGAATGGGTGGACCTCGGGTGCATCATCTTTTGTGAGTTTATAATCTTCGCGGCGTGAAGGTAAGTCTGCGGGGTTATTTTTTCCTGCGATATGCTTTATAACATAGTCAAACCTGCTCATCTTTGCCCAATAACCGGCTTGAGGGCGGTTCAAGTTTGCGGTGGTGTTGAAAGTTGTGAGATTGCAATGGTCTGAGTAGACAGTAATCTGGTTTCGAGCGCCTTCTAGATAATGACGCCAGTGTTGGAGACTGTAACAAATTGCCATGAGTTCTTGGTCTGGTGTAGCATACCTGGTCTCTTCGGGTGAATGTTTCTTGCTGTAGAATCCGATGGGAACTTTAACACCATTAACGATTTGTGATAATATGCCGGCAATAGCGTAGCAGGAAGCGTCAGTCTCGAGGATCGCTGGAAGACTGGAGTTCCAAATACCCAGTACTTTCGAGTCTTTGAAAGCGTCTTGAAGAGTTCTAAAACTTTGAAGACCTTCTTCGCTGAGTTCGAAGCGACGTTGAAGGTTTTCTTTACGGGTAAGAGCCGTAAGTCCGTGGGCAAGTTCGGAGAACCGTGGAATGAAGCGGCAGTAGAAGTTGATGAAGCCTAAGAATGATTGTACTTGTTTGAGAGTCTTAGGTTCAGGCCACTCGGTGACAAGTGATTTTCTAGAAGGGCAGATTGTGATACTATTGTGCTTGATTATGTAACCCAGAAACCATGTTCTCGTGACTTCAAACTCGCATTTCTCAAGCTTGGCGTATAGGCCGTTCTTTTCAAGGATATAAAGGACTTTGTGGGTACGTTCAATAACTTGTTCTTTGGTTTCTCCCCATATGAGGATATCATCAAGGTAACAAATCATGATTTCTCTTAATTCTCGGAAAATATCGTCCATCCATGCTTGAAAAGTCGCTGGAGCATTACAAAGACCGAAAGGCATGACTTGGTATTTGTAGAGGCCGAATTAGCTTATAAACGCAGTTTTCCACTCATCACCTTTTTTCATTCGTAGCAGATGGAAGGCGTTACGAAGATCAAGTTTGGTGAAGAATTTAGCGCTGTGCATTTTGCTTAGGTAGTCATCTAATTGGGGCAAAGGGTAAGCGTTTTTGACTGTATTGGCGTTTACGGCACGGTAGTCCACGCAAAGGCGTAGGGCCGAGTCATGCGGCTTAGTTCGAAACATAACTGGACAGGCGCAAGGAGATTTGCTTTTTCGGATCCATCCTCGTTGGATTCCATCGTCAATATAGGTTTTGAGTAGACTGAGTTCTGTATCGGACATCTTGTATACTCTTCCGTGGCGCATCTTGGGGTCTGGCTTGAGAATAATCTTGCAGTTCACGTTTGACCTTTCTTTTGCTAGTTCTTCAGCTTTTGGCTTTGAGAAAACATTTTTAAAATTTGTATAGTGGTTAGGTAGGGTTTGATAGGTATCGGGCTCGTGTTCTTTCAATATGGTGTTCAATTTTAGGGTGTGGTATAATTTTTGCCAATCAATTATGGAAACTCTTTCCTCAGTGTTGGGGCCATTGTTTTGTTGGACACTGGTGTTTTTGCGGATGAGTTCGCAAACGTGCTTTGTCATAGCGATGGCTTTACTGTTATTGAGTGGGCGTGCACCCCAGCGTTGACCTACAGTGCGGAGAGGGGAGGGAAATGTGCGTGGCCTTGTTTTTATTATTGGTGTTTTTATGGGACGCTTTTGTGGTATGAGATTGTTGCATTCTATTTTACCGGTAATCCAATCAATGTTTGGATTTAGGCGTTGCAACCATGGGTAACCTAGTATGACATCTTGATGTTTCAGTGGAGCTGGTACAAAGGAGAATTGACCTTTTGCGAGGTCATTAAATTTACATTCTACTTCTACAATTCTTGCTTTATCACTAGGCACAATGATGTGGCCGTCTGCAGCGATAATTGGTTGGGACAAAGGAGTAGACTTTTGGATTTGAAGTTCTGGTAAAATATTTTTATTGATGAAATTATCTTCCGCACCACTATCTACTAATGCATGCACTACCTTTCCACCCACTGACCCTTTGACTTTGAGTTGAGGACATCGAGATTTAATCCTAGGGGTGAAGTCAGTGGGGGGGGGGCCAGGTTTGCAATTTAGCAGAGTAGAGGGTGTGAGTACGTACAGATTCGTTCTTGTGGTGTATAGAGGTTGCAGTGTCTGGCTCGTATGCCGTGGTGTTGAGGCGGCGTTGTCCCTTTGTGAGCTGACATCTCTCCACCAAATGGTTGTTTGCTCCGCAGTATAGACAAAGATTATGGGTTCGCCGACGGTTTCTCTCGGTATCTGTGAGGGGAGGGCGTGGGCCTGTATGGCGAGCTCCGTATTGTTGTGTCGTTTCTTCAGCGCGGACGGTAGTTGCAGCAGTGGCAATGGGTGTGTAAGTACGTGGCTGTGCGGTACGTTCCTCTTTGCGCTCTAGGTAGATATTGCTGTCTACCTCTACTGCAAGTTTCCGGACCATTTCATAGTCTTCGCGGTCGAGGGTTGGTTGACGGTTTAGCGCCTTTCTAATCTCGGGCTGCATGTGATATAGGAACTGGAGTGCCATAACATTGGGAGGGTAACCCAAAGCATGGGATGCTTCTTCGAATTGCGTCGCAAAGATGGCGATAGAACCTTTTACATGTCTAGTCATGTACTGGTCTTGCATACGCGAGATGTACTGCGCGTCTTGAAAGGTTCTAGAGAACTGTGCGATAAATTCAGCATAATCATCAATGAGATCTTCACAATCACTGGTGATGATTGCACTCATCCAGTTTGCAGCGCGACCCGAACAATGCTCCGCAATCTCTGTGAGGCGCGACTCTGGAGTGCTGAAGTCTTCGGGGTATTTGACAAAACGGAGATCCATAGCGGTGGACCAAGTCTTGAAATCTGCGTTGCTTCCATCGAACTTTTCGAACTTTGTTGGCTTTGATGGCGCGTTTTTCCGTGATGGCGAGGCGAATTTTTTAACCTTTTCATTGAAAAGGGGAAGCTCTTTGGATATCTTCATACTTGCCATGGTGTCTTGGTGTATGGTCCTTCTTATGAATCGTCCTGTTGCGGGGTTTCGGGGATTGGTGAGTTCTTTGAGAGTATTAGTCTCCAAGGACATCGACTTCTGTAAAATTGGGACTATGGGGCTATGGGACTGTGGGACTGTGGATGACTCTGAAAGTGTAGTGCGTGGGTGTGTGAGTGAATCAAGTAGGCTGGGTCTCTGAAAAAGATAGCCAAAATCACGAGGTATGAAAATAGTAGAGAGGCAGCCTTAGGAATGTAAGATAGATTGGCTATGGAAGGAGAAATAAGAGTAACTACAGCGAGCTCTATATACATGAGGTGTGGGTGTTTGCTGAGTAATGCCATGACTAGATTGGCATTCATGTCACGTGTAGGTGTTTCATGTTCAAGCACCTACACTGCCTTGCTCATTGCATGCTTGGAGCCCTGAGGGCATAACTGAAACAGATCATGTCCTAGTAGATAGAACGTGGAACCTCCAGTATCGGATTACACGACTCGCTTAGTTACGAGCCGTGCACTGTCTGGACAATAGACGCGTCAGATAGTACTCACCGAGTAATGTAATCGACGAGTTGTAGAGACGATCTATCAAGTGAAGGAGTAGTCATTCTTTGATGACACAAGTAATTGACAGAGTACTTCTCGGTTATACGAAGGAATGAGACACGTTTAGAATAGAGTAGATAATTGGATCACAGTTTGGTAGATGGGGACTTCTCTAAGACCCAACTCATATCACTACTGTGGGATATCAATTCAATACTGATTCATCTACGCCTTACATTTGCTGTGCAGTGTCTCTTATCAAGTTATACAAGTGATCAGAGTACGTATATTTTAATATATATAATTCATTTTACCCGATTTGGCGCCTTGAGGCCCATGCAGGTTTTTATCAGAAGATATATACTTTAAGTAGGATGACTCAGTTTGAAGTTTAGAACACTCACACTTAGATTTCATTTGCAGATACTACTCGAGGTTAACCCTTATGGCGTGTAACCTCTTCCGTGCATACCAACCACAGGGAAAAGCGTGAAAAACCTGTGGCTAACCGAGTGTGCTTTCATCATCCCACAAGTTCAATGCCGCCGCGAGAGAAAGAGGTGTTGGGTTGTCTAATAGTTGATTGGGATAATGCACTCAAGTAAGAGTTCTGGTAGTTCTCAATATCATGAAGACGGGCCACAAGTTCTTCAAACTCAATTCTTTCTAGACCTCTTTCATAAATCAAGGCCTCTTTGAGTTTTAGATTACAGTTGTGAAGGACGAGACTTCGGAGAAACGCTGAATTTGGTTCGTATCTAAGAATTGATGCATCGCGTTTAATTTCGGAAATCCAGACAGAAAAGGCCTTGTTCTCTGACTTATTTGAATGTAGTTGCTCTGAAGCATCACGAGCTAGATTAGGATCGTGAAAAACTGTAAATAAAACTTGTATCATCTCATCCATCGAAAAGAAGGTAAGGATTCCGTTCTTTACCCATGAATGAAGATAAGCTTGACATTGATAACTCAGGCGAGAATAAACATGAGTCATGTGTGATGATTCATTTGGAAAATAGTCATGGTTAACATTCAACTTCATTTGCACGCTATTTACTCAGGTCTTAAATTCATCTTTAATTCCTGTGAATATAGTAGGATCTGGAATTTTGGTAGTTTTAGCTGGGTTTGAAAATAGACCACAACCCTTCATATTTTGTAGTTCTTTATTGATCTCTCTAAGCATATCTCGAAAAGTTTCAAGTTTAATAGACGAGCGTGTAATTTCTTCCAGGAGACTTGCCATATTCAAGGTCTCATGTGCTATAGGTGACTTATTTGGTAATTTTGCAAGATTTTTATTTTTAGAGCTTTTTGTGATGTCACGGGCAAGGACAGAAACTAGGACGAAGACGAAGACGAGTACAAAGACAGAGGCTGATAATGAAGACGAGATATTCAGATTTATAGTTAGATTCTAAAATATGAGGAATTTACAAGACAAAAAGTGTTGCGATTTCATAGTAAGAGGAACAGAAAGTAAAGCTCAGGGAATGATGTTTCCACTAAAGTTCTAAGTTACATGTAAAACGCGAATTTATGTCCGCATATCCTAGAGTTAAGTGGGTATGCAAACAATAATTATTACAGTAAAAGGTTTTCAGCACAGCTGACCACAAAACCATTGTGCAGAGATTAAGACAATACTGATCCCGCACCATTAACTCCATCCTATTTGTCGCAAAGTAAACATGACCATGGAGGGCAAGACTGAACACCTGTACGCGGTGTCCTCTACGAACCTGGGAGTGAAATATTCTCCCAGAGCCAAGTTCAGTCAAATTTCGCAAAATTTAAAATTACTCCACCACGTCGTTTTTCCGCTCCCAACGAGTTTGACGCCTACCTAAGTCTACAAGTACGACCTAGTACATCCTCATCCCAATGACTACACCAGTCTTCGACCTTCTCTGGTCTCAGTTGACCACCAAATACACGCCCACGCCGATATTTATACCCGACAGAGGAAGCAAAGCGTGGCGCACAAATCTGGGAGATAGCTCTTTGGGATGGACGTGAGAGGGATCAGGACAAGTTCACAAGATGATGCAGAAGAGGGATGTAACTTCGAAGGGCATGAGATTCCGAATTTTGGCAAGAGTTTTACAAATTGAGCTTTGTGCGCGTCAAGACTTCGCTTGCGAGAGTGCATTTGACACTATAAAAACAAGCAAACGATGGAAGGTGTAGTGGTCCGCCTCCTGGTGGTGTTCTCTGGTATGGTTTGAGTAGCCTGGGCACCTACTCCACTTAGGAGGGAGACACCCCAGATCACATATCGCGCGGAGAAACGTTGAAAGGTGATAAAGGCATGTCTGGATAACTCAGGGTTTTTGAGACATTTCCCTGGGTGGGTATTCACGGATGAGGGTTGACTTGGGGTGAAGAAAAAGCCACCATAACTTCGCAGTGGTACTTGCAAATGAAATCTGAGGCATGAGTGCTCCTCTTGTAAATTGAGTCATCTTTTCTGTACTTTTCTTTGATATTGTGTCATAGCTAGATAGCTGCATACGCAATTAAAATCTGATGCAAAAAAAAAAAAACATGACCATGTCTCACACTGCATTTGCATCTAGTATCATACTACCCCGCACATGCAAATGCATGAGAGAATATCTCAACAGCGAAAAGAAATTAAAATGTAGAATATAGGATATATTGTGCAGCATGTAGGAAAGTTGTTCATATTTGCAAGGAATGCCAATTATCGTAAGAAATGTTGCAAATTCCAACAAAAAGCTACAGTATAAATCTAGTCCTAGAGCTTCCTTATGTACACGAGCATCAATACTATAACCAAGGGTGTAGTAGTCCAAAGACATAGCACAGCAATTGACTTGTACTCTGAATGGCAACTGTTGCTATCACAACACTATAACCATTTTGAATTTGATTTCATTTAGCCCGATTTGGCGCCTTAAGGCCCATGCAGGTGTCTAAGAACTCTAATATTTAGATAGGAGGAAACCTTTATGGTAAAAATCCCCTCAAATTTTCAATTTATATACACTTTTAAAGTTGAGCTACCTTCAAGAAGTGCACTAATATTGTTATATCCAGTGCGGATACTGTCCACTCCCTCATTTATGGCAGGAGATCAATTCCCCCTACTGCCCTCTCTCTCACTCATCATGGCTTCGACTTCAAGTGTCAGTCGAAACTGCTCTAGGCTTCCTTCCTTTTGTATCTACTTTGTTATTCTAGCCATATCTTTCGGGTTATTCATCATCGCTTCGAATGACCGATTCTTTGCCTTTCTCAGTATCTCCCCTCTCCCTATAGCCCAGTATGGACAGGTCATGATCATATGCTTGACGTTCTAGGATGGATATCCACATTGGCATTGTGGGCTGTCTACTCCGGGAACATGTCTTCTGTGCAGGTAAGAGTTGAATCCGAGGTGCTCACTTCTTCACTGCATGGCTTTGCCACTTTGGGCCCTGTTAAAGTTTTTATGTATACTGATAGGTGTTCCTCCAGAGGTCATTGTCGTTCTTCCCGTCTTTTCATCTGTATAAAGCTGTAACCATTACAATTCCTAAATTATGTTATTTTATGCATGTCATAACTTGGTTGCCTGGGTGCAACGCGACATCCCAGAGATGGTTTGTGACAGACATATGCACAGACTGTAGAATATGGAAAAAATCAGGGTCTTTCGGTGATGAGGAATCCTCAACAACCAATGAATAAAGCAACAG